AATCCCCTTGTTGTGTTTTCCCTTGATCTAATGTCCACATATGAGGGAGAACATACGATTTTTGGTCTTTTGGGCCAGGCTAACCTCACTCAGAATAATGTCCTCCAGTTCCATCCATTTACCTGCGAATGATAACATTTCGTTCTTATGGCTGCATAAAATTCCATTGAGTATAAATAAACAGTACTTTATATACATTAGAGTACCTTGAATATCCATTGTGAAAAAAAAACCATTTGGTTTATGTTTTCTGCTTGTTGGAATTTTTTTCTGGACTTTTCATATCAAGTTTGTCCTGCTTTATGGTTGCAGTATTGCCTGAAGCAAACAAGGTCCCCTTTTGGGGTCTTGATTTAGTGGGAAGAACAGTGGATTAGAAGATCAGAATGTAAGTACCAATGCACTTACCAATCATAGGACCGAAGTCAACTCTTCCTATTTCACAGACTGTTTTGAAGAGCCAATTAAGGTAAACTATTGTGGAAGTGCTTTATGGACTATGTAATATTGTATAAATGTGGAAAATGGTGGTTATTCCCTGATCTTTGTAGGACTGGAGAGTGAAGGAGTTGGACCTTTAAGAGGTGATCTTGTCCTCTATTGTGGAATAGAGGCAGTGTGCTGTGTGGAATGAGCAATTTCTAATGTTAGGCTGACCTTGGTTGAGATTCTAGCCAGGTATTTTACTACCTTTTGCCTTGAGCAAGACACTTAAACCTATTTTTGATCTGACACATGGGCACCATAGCTACCTCAGCGTTATAGTGAAACTTAAATAACGCATATGAACTGTCTAGTACATACTAGAGCTGTAGTAAATATCAAAATGTCTTGCCCTGATGAGCACTGTTGGCTCCCCCCCCTCTCAAATTAGAGTCTGCCTCTATCTTAGGAATAATTTCTTGCCTTGGAATTTTGGAGGTTGATCTCTTCTGGAAGAGCAGAAGTAAGGAAGGGACATTTGCTCACTCTTGGTTCATATTGGCCTAATTGGTATCAGGATGGCCTAATAGTTTCCTCAGCAGGTCTTAGAACTGGGTATTACAGGCAGATCCTGGAGCTGCTGTTCCATGGTATGTCCAGAATCCATTAATCCATATAGTGGTGACAAGAAAAACGGTTGCCAGAGGCTCCTACAGTGTCCTCTACTTGAGCATGCTCAAGGGCCTGTGGGGACCTCCTGAGCTCCTAGCTTGGTTCCCAAGAAGAGATTATTAGAGAATCAAGTCTTGGTAAGCTCATTCAGACACAAAGCAGAGGTGAGACAAGCCTCAGTCACCTTCTAAGAACACAAGGCCTCTGTGCTCCTAAACTACACCCCTGTTGCTTTTGCTCCAGTTGACCACATCCTATTCCAGCCACCTAGTTCCTTGCTCCTCCCTTGTTGACATTAGCCAAACTTCTCTCCAAGAAGTATGACCACTGATCACTCACTTTCATAAAACCTTTCTTTTGTTCCTTCCATCCATTCCAATTTCTCTACATTGTTTACTCCACCAACTATATTCTACTGCTAACTCTAGTATTTTCTGTGAACTAGTAGGGTCCAGAAATCCTCTGGCTTCCCATACATTTCCCCATGCAGTGTGTACTGACAATAAAAAACAAACAAACAAACAAACCAAGGATGAAGTGGGTTTCAGCTCTCCAATTCACCTAGTCTTTCTGAGTTATTTCCTATTCTGTGAAATCGGGTAGTCAGACTGACATCAAGGGTTGTAGTGCTAATAGCATAAGATGAGTGAGCAAAGGACATGCTCCAAAGCCTGATAGCAGGAGTTTAGCAAACTAGCAAAACTCCCCACCACCCACATTTTCTTCACCTTTATCCCTTTTCCTCTTTTTCTTTTTCCCAGCAGTACTGCAGTTTGAACTCTGGGCCTTGAGCTTGCTAGGCAAGTGTGCTACCACTTGAGCCCCACTCCCAATGCTTTTGCTTTAGTTTATTTTTCAGATAGAATCTTGTGCTTTTGCCTGGGCCTGCCTCAGACTGAAATCCTCCTACCTCCACTTCCCATTTAGCTGGGATTACAGATGTGACCCTCCATGCCTGACCTGCTCTTTTTTTTTTTTTTTTTTTTTTTTGTGGTACTGGGGCTTGAACTCAGGGCCTAGCACTTGCTAGGCAGGCCATCTAACATTTGAGCCACCCGGCCAGCCCCTGGCTTGTTCTTTCAGATAGGGTCCACTAACTTTTTTGTCTGGGCCCATCTTGAACCCCAATCCTCCTATCTCTGCTTTGCAAGTAGCTGGGATTACAGGCACAAGCCACTGCGCTTAGCCCTTCCTTTTCCTTTTCTATGCGCTTTTCTATGTGTTCCCTTTCTTTTCTTTCCCCCTTCTTACTCTTACCCTCCTCTCCATTCCTCCTTCTCCCTCTCTTTTCTCTCCTCTCTCCTTCCTCTTTTTCCCTTCCTATCCTTTCCTTTCCCTCTTCTCTTCATTTATTTCTTCTCTCCATTTATTTTCTGCTTCTACCATATACTTAACTAGGGTCAGGAAGAAATTAACCAAATATTTTCAATTAGAAGGTCAGTTTAGAGGGTATAGGAGTCAAGAAGTACATGTCTTCTAGAATAGACCACTTCCTCACTTTATGCCCCCAGCATTAGAAAACTCATGACTTAAGTACGTCAAAACCTTGATGAGTTAGGTAAAACTGGGGAGAAGGGCTCCCTAACCATTTTAGTAAAGCCAGACCACCTTTTCCTCTATTCAGATCTTACTGATTTGTTTGAAGAGGTGGGCTCCAAAGTTAAGAGACAGCAATGTGTTAAGCAGATGCTTGTTGGTTCTAAGAGCAGAGGAAGGTGAGGCAGTGGGAAGAGAAAAAAATCACTGGATGACAGAGCATTGAGTTGCGAGGGACTGCAGAAGTGGAACTCCCTGGGTTACAGACTTTGACCTTAACCAAATCACTTTCCCTTCTGCTTCCTTATTTCTCTCTTATGAAATGAAAACAATAATCCTCACTTATCTGTCTCACAAGGTGGTTAGAAGTGAGTGCTTTGTGAAATGTGAATCAGATAAGCTACTTAGATGAAACGTATCATAATTTATTCATTCAACTATATCCATTTCATGACATCTGCTGCTAGGCATTGGAGAAACTGGAAAAATAAAAAAAGTCTATCTTTTAATGAATTCAAAAGCTAGAGGATATTTATAGCATAATGGGTAGGACACGGGCTTGAAGACTTAAGAGGAGAAATGGCCAAACAAAGCTATGGGATGGTTGGGATTGAGTCACAGAGGGAGAACAACAATCTCAAGATGCAATGACTTGGTGGATATGCCCCCATACTTTCCTCCCACCGTGGGTGTCACCAAGGTTCAGGCTGAAGAAGCTCAAGTGCTCCATGAGGGGGAGGAAGCTGTGGGATGATGAGGGGGATGTCCCCACAAAGATTGGAGCTTCGTCAGCCTTTCTCCTGCACCGGAAACCACAGGAAACCAGGTCAGTTCGTGGGGCCCCCTCCCTCTGCTCCAGGGCTCAGCTATGAGCTCTGGGGCTTCCTGAGCAGGCTGTACTGATTAGTGACTGGAGGCTCCTTTGCTTGAAGCCCTTTGCTCAGGAGAGCCAGAATGGGCTAATGGGTAGAGAGAGAAAGTTGGGCTGTGGTCCTGAGAGTCAGCCAGGTGGTGAGCCAGGGTACATATGGGGTCATGTAAGGTTTATTTATGTGTCCTACAGTGCCTTTTACTATTTTTCTTTTGTTTTTGCCCAGTTTGAAATGGTGCATCAATCACTGCTGAATCTTCAGCATCCAGAGTAGAGCAGTGCTTAGTAACTCTGTTAAGTGAGAATTGGGTCTAAGTGAGAATTGTCTCTTAGCAAGACTGAAGTTCTAGAGCATGTTAATGGGTGGGTCAGATCAGTAGGGTGTTTCAGGAATAGGAGGGGTTAAGAAATGGGTGCACCTCCCCAATCTAGTGCTGGCCCCTTTCCTGTTATTTTTCTGCCATAGCAAGAGCCCCTGTCTTTGAGGTGGGGTTAGGAGGGTTTCCTAGGGAACAAGCTGTCCCTATGCTTACAGAAGGAATGTGGCCTGGCCTGCTAGTTAGGATAGAGGAGGAGCCTTGGGGCAGGGCGGGACCAGGGCAGGATAAGGCAAGGCCTTTATTGGTACTGTGTGCTCCTTGCTGCCCACTTGCAAGTCACAAAGCTATGTTCTAGGTGCCCTGATCCTGTAAAACCCATGGGGAGCCCAAAAGCAGCAGCACTGCTCCTGCCTCTTCTTCTGTTGCTCATCTGCCCCTCTATCTCTGCTGGGATTGGCTGCCCTTACCTGCCGCACTGGATCACCCGCTGTCTACTGCTCTCCCATGTGGTAAGGTGCCACTGCTAGGTGGGGACACCTTCCTGGCACAAGGTAAAGCTCTCCCTTCCCCTGTCTGCTCTTTCCTACCTTTGCAGTCCCTGTACTCTGGTGGCAGTCTTGGTGTATCCTCTATATGGTTGCTAAGGGACTGCCGAAGTCCTCATGTGCTGATGAGCCTGAGCAGGGTGAATCTGGGAAGAAAAGACCTGGAGTGGATTGGCTACTTATAAGCTATGGGCCTCAGAGTTGGGTAATTTGAGGCAAAGAGCCCAGGAGAATGTTCTTTATGGGAATCCATTCCAACACCTCTCTCCTTTCTTTTCCCCACTGGGCCTTGTACCCTCAGGATAAGAGTTTCACTGGTGAGTCTTATTTCCTGCCCCTTCTTTTACCCATACTCATCCAGATCCCCATCCAGTCTTCCATTGTAATTTTTGGTTTCCTACCTGGTAAGTAGCATAGAATCAATGAAGAAGTACAGGACAAGTCTGTATTTGCATGCCATTCTGCCCCATGCTCCATAAATAGCTTCAGGCAGTATGTTTTACGCCTCTACTTGACCCTGAGGGGTAGAGTAGTGGAGGAGAAGTGACTGTCTGATGAAAACAGTGTTGATTCTCACCTATGGGGAGAATTAAATGAGGAACATGAGAAACTCTCCAAGTACTCCAATTGGTTCCTCCCTGTAGCAGTCCTTGACTCACACCCATAATACAATAATCTTTCAAATTTTATGGTACATTGTACTTTACCAAGCATTTTCCTCCATACTGTCTTACTTAATCTGTATAACAACCCCATTTAATGAATGAAGAATCTGACACTTAGATCCAATAACTTGCCCAAGGTTATATTTCCAGGATGTCAGAGCTCAGCCTCAAATCCAATTGGTTGGAGGTAAGAGGGAACTCCTTAGACCCTGTTTTTAATTTCCTTTCCATTTTACACAGGAAGTTCTGCCCAAACTCCATGCCATACCCAGTTGGCCCTTCTCTCCACAAAGCCTTGGTATGCTCAGATCTGGCATTGGCGTTGCTGTTTGTGTCTGCATCTGGTATCCTATCCTGCAGGTATGAGAAACAGCCTTTCAGGAATTCTCAGTGGAAGTGTGAATTAGGGATATTTGGTGGTGGGCGGGGGTTCTCTGGGGTAAGATAAATGGGGCTTGTTATACTAGAACAAATTTTTGTCCTGTTATCTCCTCAAGAGGAACTTAGAGTATCCTAAAATAGCATATCATGACTGATATTCATGGGTGCAACTGTATGACTTTATGAAAGTGTTAATCTCTTCAACTGGTACCAATTCCTAAAATTTTTGGATTCTAACCAGGCGCCAGTGACTCACTCCTATAATCCTAACTACTTTGGAGGCTGAGATCAGGAGGATCACAGTTTGGGGCCAGCCTGAGAAAATAATTCATGAGACTCCATCTCCAAAATAATCACAGCAAAATGAACTGGAGGTGTGGCTCAAGTGGTAGAGCCCCTGTATTGCAAGTGAGAAGCCTTGCATTCAAACACTAGTTCCACCAAAAATTTTTTTTCTATTTATAAAGTAGGATCTTCTTATTCAACATTACCTCACTTAGTATGTACTAAACATACCGTTTAAGAGTTAGCAGGTTCAGCTGGGTGCCAGTGGCTCACACCTATAATCTTAGCTACTTGGGAGGCTGAGATTGGAAGGATTATAGTTTGAGAGACCCCCATCTCCAAAATAACAAGAGCAAAATGGACTAGAGGTATGGCTCAAGTGGTAAAGTGCCTGCTTTGCAAGTGTGAAGCCTTGAATTCAAACTCCAGTCCCATCAGGGGAAAAAAGAAAAAAAGAGCAGTTTTTAAATTTTTACTGTTAGAAATAATGCTACAATGAATACCTTTGTGTGTAGAAGAGCTGGGGTTATTTTTTTCTCTACTTAAAAAATTATTTTTTTTTCTGGTTTTGGGACTTTAACTCAGGGCATTCAACTTGAGCCACTCCACCAGTCCTATTTTATGAAGGGTGTATCAAGATAGGGTCTTGCAAACTATTTGTCCAGGCTTCCTCCTGATCTCTGCCTCCTGATGACCTAGGATTACTGGTGTGAGCCACTGGTGCCTGGCTAAAAAAAATTATTTTTTATTATATCATAATTTTTAGCACGAAAAGAAGTTTGAGGACTGGGGGCATGGGTGTGGCTCAAATACTAGAGTACATACCTAGCAAATGCAAGGCCCTGAGTTCATTCCCTAGTGCCGGAAAAAAGAAGAAGAGAAGAAGGAGGAGAAGGAGGAGGGGAAAGAGGAAAAGGGGGAGGAGGAGGAGAGGAAGAAGCTTGAAATCATTACTGTCCTTGATTTAAAATGATTTACCATCCAGCATTCGGCCACTTCTCCAGGTAGTAGGTGCCATAAAGGGCTGGATAGTAAGTGTGTCCTCCCCTGTGCAGGCCTTCAGTGGGGCTGGTTCCACTTCCTGATGCAGAAATACAAAAAGCTTTACAAGCTCAAGTTCTATCAGAGACACAGGATGCCAGCATCTTCTCAGGTACTCTTCTTGTCAGTTCCAGCTTTACCTTGTGCCCCACAGCCTTTTTCTTTCTGGCCTCTCATTTTATTCTCCAGCTTTATGAAGGAGTTGAAAATGTGGAGATTATACAGTAAGGGAAACTGAGGCCAAAGGAGATTGAACAATTTGCCTGTGGTTCCTCAAGTTCCAGAGGCAGAAATAGAAACCAGACATCCTGATTCCTGGCCTAAGGCCAACCTTGTTCTCTTCTTACAGAAGAGACTTCTAGGTAGCCTTGTCTGAGAAGGGCCAGCACATTTCCATCCCATCCCCAGACATCTCCCACAAGGGGCTGCGCTCCAAAAGGACCCAACCTTCAGATCTAGGAGTGGAAAATCTTCCCAGACCCAGTTTACAAAGTCATGAAGGTGGGCATGGTATATGACAGGAGATGGCTTCAGTTGAGTAGTCCCACCTGTGCTCAGGCCAAGAGGCAAGACCACTGAGTCTCCTTTCTCCCCCAGGACCGGACTTCTCCTTTGATTTGCTACCCAAGGCAAGAGCTATTCGGGTGACTATTCCTCCAGGCCCAGAGGCCAGCATACGTCTTTGTCATCAGTGGGCCCTGGAGTGTGAAGAGCTGAGCATTCCCTTTGCTGTTCAGGTAGGGAGTGTTGACCCTATAAAAGGTCAGATTACAGGCTGACAGAGTGTTCAAGTGATAGAGTGCCTGGGTGTAAGCCCTAAGTTCAAACCCCAATATTGAAAAAGAAAAAAAAAAAAAAAAGATACCCTGAGATTACACAGTGCTGGAGCAAATGGGGATACTGAAGCCCAAGGAGGAAGGTAATTGTCTAAGACCTCCTTACAAGGTGAGGTGTCTAGCATTAAGACTTTTTCAGACTTACCAGAAAAGACAAGGGACCTTGTTACTTGGGAGGATAGGGGCAGGCAGAGTCTTAAAGCAACCATGAACGATGAGCAGAGAAATTAATATTTTATGTCTTCCCAATGAGAGGACTCTCAGTGTGATTCTGGTTACATTAAAAAGCCTTTTCAGTTCTACCAAGATGTTGTTCCCCATGAGAACATAACAAAGTGGACACAAGTGTCTTGATACCCTTCCTTATCCCACCCTTTGCTTTACCCTTTAGAGAATGAGATATCCACTAATTTCTTAGACCAGGCTCAGACAGCCCACCTCGATCTCCACTTGTCACAGATGCTGTTGTGTAAAGTTGGTATCATTTGCGAAGACTGTTGCTGTACCCTGGAGTCCCTCAGCTGTCTTCATTTATACCACGGTGGTGATAACTCAGAACTTCACTGTGATGCTAGCATTTAATTGAGTTGGTGCTAGAAGCACCCTGCCTGGCATACATTTGGAGCTCCTTCCCTGTCTTATTCCCCGTTCCTCCACATAGAACACCTAGAACAAATGACTGGAGCAAAGATCCTATCAGAGGAAATTTTTCAGTGGGAGAAATAAGTCCCATATAAGAGGAAAAAATAGGATGTGTTAGCCCAGGTTCTAGCTTCCTCTTGTCCTGTCCATAGTGTCCATGTTTTTTCTCAGGTGTCTCTTTTCTTCCTTTGCTGCTTTACCAATAGAAAATTGTGTCTGGGGGCCACACTGCAGACCTGCCTTATGAATTCCTTCTGCCCTGCCTGTGCATAGAGGTGAGCAGAGGAAAATGTGTGAATTATCCATGGCTTCTTGCCCAAACATACCTTTAATAAGTCAAGTTTAAAAAGGACTAGGTGGGGCTGGAGATGCAGCTCAGTGGTAGAGCACTTGCCTGTGCTACCATACTTGTGGCCCTGGTTTAATCTCCCAACCAACCAACCAACCAAACAAACAAACAAACAAAAAATACTGAGCTATGAGATACTAGTGCCAGGTTGGCTGTGAGCTAAACATGGTTAGTGGTGGAAGCAAGGGTCCAGCTGAACCCAGTACCTTCTTAGGGTGATTCCAACCTCAGCTCCTCCCAGATGTAGCTTTCCCAGATCCAGACCTGGCCTCAGCCAGAATAGACAGCCACCATCACTGTGTATTCTGGGATATCAAGTTTTAATATGTCCCCCCAAAAGTCTTCTCCCCTCTGGCCCTCCATTACAGTCCTATACATTTCCTTAGAAACCTAGGCACTTAGCTTAAAGACTTCTGTGGACTATACAGAAGGCAAAGACCTGTGTCACTTGGGAGACCAGAAAGAGGGTATAGGCAGAGATCTGGTACAACAAGAAACTGCCAGGTATGCACTGGGCAGTCCAGTATGGGAATGGCCAAGAGTGGCGGCCAGGGAAGACTAAAATTGAGGAAAAGTATCTCATGATTTCCCTGTTCCTGGGGATAATTTTCTTTGGGGAGAAGAGGAGTTAACACTTCACTTGCTGATTTCTCCTAGGCTCTGGAGTTCCTCCCTACCTTTGCCCACATCCCACAGTGTTCCTTCTCCTCAGTGAACTGCCAGCCCGGGCACCTTAGTAAGCTAGAGCCAGAATGTACTTTAAGTCTGAATGGTATACCCTTTTTGTAAGTTTCCTTGTTCCTCCAGGCATCCTACCTGCAAGAAGACTCTGTGAGGCGCAAAAAATGTCCCTTCCACAGCTTGCCTGAGGCCTGTGAGTGTTGTTTGTATGCTCTCTTGTGCATACACACCATCTCTCTGTTTCTGTCTCTCTTTCACACACACACACACACACACACACACTTCACAGCTGGGTTGGAGGAAGCTCCCAAAAAGCATGCGGGCATTTTTTTTCTGGAGTCATTTGGGAAAGGGCTGTCATATCTACCTGTCATCCTGCTGGCAGACCTCAGAGTGCTGAGTATTGTAGGACTGGGAGAGGGTCAAAAAGATGAGACCCAGGGAATGGTATCCTACAGGATGGACCATAGACCTGAGCCTCCTTTTGCTCATTTGTAAAATCATGACACTTTTCCTGCTTCATTTTCAAAGTATGAGACTGAATTAAATATCCCATAGAAAAGTGGCTGGGGATTTCTGGAGTCTGCACACACGTTGTTGTCCTCAAGAAGAGACAGGGCATTCAGATACAAGTGAGAAGCACAAAGCAGCATACAGCACCCAGACAGGGTTGTAATTAAGGGTTGACTGCAGGGCATGAACTCAGGAAAGGGAGAAACCTGTGAAGGCTGTTGTAAGCAGAGAAGGACACCAGCTAGCACCAGAGCTGGGCTCAGGAAATGGGCAGGATTTAGAAAGGAGATACAGGAGGGGAAGGCATTTCAGGTTCTGAGAGGTGCATAAGCAGATTTCAAATAGAGGGCACAGCAAGGGTCTGGCAGAATGGAGGCCCAGGATGGAAAGGAGACAGTTGGGTAGAAAGGTGGTAAGGGAACTGGAGGAGAAGTGATCATATACTGAGTGCTCATTCAAACCAGGAACTGTGCCAGGCACCTTCATATTATCTCCTAGTGCCCTGGGGATAGGGCAGTAAGACAGGACTGGAGCAAGGGTTAGGCCTCATCCTTTGACTCTGCCACCTGCCCAGATGGCTCAGACTTCTGGAAGTCAGCGCACTTTACTGACTACAGCCAGCACAATCAGATGGCCATGGCCCTGACACTCCGCTGCCCACTGAAACTGGAGGCCTCCCTCTGCCAGAGGCAGGACCTGCACAGCCCCTGTGAAGACCTCCCCAACTCCACAGCTCGAGAGTCAGAAGGAGTGAGGATAGGCCCTCTCCAGGACTGAAGTGGGCATGGTTGGGGCCCAGAGACCTTCACCCTGACTAACTCCCATCTCCCCGCAGTGGTATGTTTTGGAGGAGGTGGACTTGCACCCCTACCTGTGCTTCAAGGTACATCCATGGGCAAGAGGGGAGGAGCAGAGGGAGGGGTCAGTGCCTGCAGCTTGCTAACTTGCTGTTCTTGTGTTTTCAGTTCTCCTTTGAAAACAGCAGCCATGTTGAATGCCCCCACAAGAACAGTGAGTCAGAGCTGGGGATGTAGCTCAGCAGTAGGGTGTGTTTATCTGGCATGTGTAAGGCCCTGAGTTTGATCCCCAGCACCACAAAAAAAAAAAAAAAAGAATGGTAAGCCAGTAAATGACCTCAGCTGGAGCCCCTTCTTCATATTTCACCTTGACCTAACTATGATTAAACCAACCTTAGTCTAGCTCTTACTTCCTGGTCTACTACAACTTACTCTAATCATTTCTACAAACAGGTTCTCTCATATCCTGGAATGTAAGTATGGACATCCAGGCCCAGCAGCTGATCCTTCACTTCTCCTCAAGGATGCATGCCAGCTTCAGTGCTGCCTGGAGCCACCAAGGTTTGGGGCCAGACACCTTGATGCCCCCTGTGTACAGTGTCAGTCAGGTACAGTCTAGCCAGGGGTTTTCTCCCACTAGATTCTGTCAGTCAGAACATGGTCCCCAAGCTCCTTGATTCAGCTGGTCGTTTGTCAGTCAGTGGGGTCCTTGATGGGACAGTTTTTAAGCCTTTTAATTCCTTGGTTAACAGGGATAACAGAGGCCATGGACTGACCCTCAAATATTCAGCTGTTCTCTAGTCTATCCAGGCTGTGGCCACACTGTATATGAATGCCATCCCTGAACCCACTGTCCTCGACCTACTTTCCTGCCTTCACAAGTTACCCAGGCAGAAGTTCTCTCTCAAGAAGCAGGACCTCCTAGAAGCTGTATAATACTTTACAGATTTAACCTTGTCAGTGACTAAAAGCAGGTTGGCTAGCAGACTTTCTTCTCACTATCTAATATAAAAAACACAATCAGATACAACCGCAAAACCGGAGCACCAAATTGACTAAGCATGGACTAGCTCCTTCCAGTTCATTCTTAAATGATCTCTCGCAGCTTCTTTATCTGCTTTGTATCCTATGGGGCACCCACACTGACAGGTGGTAGCAAACACTTAAGATTTAAGACCAAGTCATGTGGGATAATCTAAACCTGAGACCTAAATCTATTGACTCCTTTGTTCTATGAGCTGGGAAAAGTCTACCTTCATTTGAGTTCTGCAATGATTTGAGAGTATCTACTCACAAGCTGGCTAGAGAGTAAGGTCTGAGGCAGACAAGGGGATATCTGGTAGAGGATGCTCCTGAAGGATGGAGACCAGCTAACCCCCTAATTAGCACCCAGAACAGAAGGTAGAGTCACATCCCATCTGTAGACAGATAGCAATCAATTCTTTCCAATTCAGCATGCATTTATTGAGTGCCTACTCTGTGCCCAGGTACTGGGAGTAGGCACTCAATTAAAAGAACATTCATATGAATATTCTAATTTCATTCTAAAATAAAGATTATCAATCCTCATATAAGAAGAAACTGAGGCTCAAGGAGGAGAGGTATTCATACCTGTCTCCATGCAAAGGTCACATAGCTGGGAGCTACAAAGGCAGTCATTAATCCTGAACCTAGTCCTCCTGACTCCACAGATCACGTTCTTTCCTGTGGACAAGATTTCTCCTCAACTGTGTAGGAGAGTGAAGGGAGGCACATATGATTAGCCTACCTGGTCTGTGAGCTGCTAGAGGACAGAGATAGTGTCTGTGGCCCACAGTAGACACTCAAGAGTGTGTGTCATATGTTGGCGCAACTGTTGAGATCTGGGAAAGACCAGTGGGGGCTGGAGCATCATGGGAAGTCTTCTTGTCCAAGGTAGCACTTAGCCTCAAGCCTGGGATGGGGTGGGTGGGAAGGAACAGTGCCAAAGACTCACAGCTTGGAAACAATCATATGTACCTCTATGAGGACAGTCATTCTCCAATTTGTTCCTACAGACTCAGGGCTCAGGCCCAGTGACATTAGACCTCATCATGCCCTTCCTGAGGCCAGGGGGCTGTATTCTGGTAAGGAATCCTACTGTCTGTGCATATACTCCACTGGTATCTTCTCCACAGGTGACATACATAGAAATTATAGTCTGCAAAAATGTTTGGTTTGTCCAGCATAGTATTTTAAATTGGAATTAGCTGTCATCATTTACATAATATAGGAATATAGTTTTTATTTTTTTTAAGTACATTTCTGGCTTCTGAAAAGTGAGAAGAACCTAGCACTCTTGTGTCCACATTGGGGCATAGTAGAATTGTTATAGTTGGCCTGTGCTCCCCATGTACTCACAAACAGCCCTATCCAACTCCGTGGGCTTCCTTTGAGTTTGACCCTATCACACTTGCTTTTGCCATTCTTGGCTGGTGTGTGCCAGGGTGGGGCCTGGAATACAAAGCCTGAGCTGGAAGAATTCTTTACCTAGTAGGGAACCCCCCTTCTTCACTCCCAAGCCTCCTCCCTGTGGGAGGAGGGGTACTCTGGCTCACAGGAGTGGGGGCTATGTGTCCTCAGGTGTGGAGGTCGGATGTGCAGTTTGCTTGGAAGCACCTGTTGTGTCCCAATGGTGAGTTTTTGGGCCCGAGGGAAGGGGGAGGTTGGGCACTGAGGAGCTGGGTTTGGCCTTACCCTGCTCTACTCAGTCTCTAACAGACGTCTGGGGCTCTTGACCCTGGCACTGCTGAGCCTCACCACCCTACTGGTCATTGTTCTGGTGTTCACCTGCCGGCGCCTACTGTCAGGTAAGCCTACCTAGCCTAGCCAGGGGTTCAGACCTTTACACTCCTAGGCTAGGTGGTTTCCCCATCCTCTTCCCAAGAGTCCTGCCACTCCATCTCTGCTATTGGAGGTGGTAAGCCTCAGGCCCCTAATGGGCGGGAATGGTTAAGGCAGGCCAAAAGGCCCTCTGTTCAGGTTGTCTCTGTACCACGACTCTGGTTTAAGAGGCCAGTGGGATGGAGATCCAGCCCGGACCACTCTTGCCAAGCCTGGCACCGGGGTCCCTTATTCTAAACCCTCAATAGGCTAGCCTGCTTTGGGTACTGACTCCCCAGCACAGATCAGGTAAATGGTGGGGGGGGGGGTACCCTGCAGTGTAGCCCAGAGGTCTGGGAGAGAGCTGGCTGCCCCTCAGACTTTCCCCACCCGGTTCAGGTGTTGCTCCCGCCCCTAGGTCCCAGTCACGCTCGGCCAGTGCTGCTCCTGCACGCCGCGGACTCAGAGGCACAGCGGCGCCTGGTGGGAGCACTGGCTGAATTGCTGCGGACTGCGTTGGGCTGCAGACGTGATGTGATAGTGGACCTGTGGGAGGGGACACGCATGGCACGTGTGGGCCCGCTGCCGTGGCTCTGGGCTGCACAAGCGCGCGTGGTGCGGGAGCAGGGTACCGTGCTGCTGCTGTGGAGCGGAGCCGGTCCCAGCCTGGCCTGCGGTCCCTACACCCACGCAGTGCCCCTTAGTGCCCTGCTCTGCGCTGCCCCACGCCCGCTGCTGCTGCTCGTCTACTTCAGCCGCCTGTGCGCCAAGGGCGACATTCCCCAGCCGCTGCGCGCTTTGCCGCGCTACCGCCTTCTGCGTGACCTGCCGCGCCTGCTGCGAGCTCTGGACACGCGGCCTTCCACCCAAGCCACGAGCTGGAACCACCTCAGAGCTCAACAGTGCTTTCGAGGCCGCCTGGAACTGTGTCGCAGGCTGGAACTCGAGGCCACCAAACTTGGCCGCCAAGGCTCAGCAGAGGTTCAGGATAGTCCTGGACGTTTGTGGCCAGAGCCTGTAGGGGCACTGGCTGGAACCCTGGCATGAGCCTTCTAACCTGGAATCCTTGGGAGGCCTACCTCAGACCCCAGGCACCCAGCTTCCTCCTCACACTTGCTGCCTCTCAGAATCTCTAGAAAGTTGTCCTTTACTAACTGTTACTCTGTTAGTGTTCTGATGGAGAGAGGGCTGTCTTCCCACTTCCTCTCTAAAGCTCCAAAAACAGTGCATGCACTCTAGTCCAGGCTGAAAATGGTGGAGGAGGAAGGAGCTAGGATGCTCTGAAGGGGGTTTAGCAAAAACCCCTCAGGGGAGTTAGAAAAGTCTGTTTCCCAGACTTAGGCTTTGTCCAGAGAGAGAGGGCTTTCTGCCTCCTCTCCCTCAAATCCTGGAGGTCAAGTCCAAGTCCTTGGACTCTACTACTAAGCTATATCCTTAGGCCTTGGTTTTTTTGTTTGTTTGTTTTTATTTTTGTTTTGTTTTGTTTTGTTTTGAGGCAGGGGCTCACTATGTAGCTTAAGCTGCAAGGCAGGTACTCTACTGCTTGGGCCACACTTCCAGTCCTTGACTTGAACTCTTGATCTTCCTGCATCAGCCTTCTGAGTACTGGGATTGCAGCTGTATGCCACCACACCCAGTTCTACATAGGATTTTCTTGACCCAAGAAAAGAAACTTTGACCCTGGGTGAACAGGACAAAGGTGGGGCAGGAGGCCAAGATTCAGAAACATGAATAAAGGCTAATGTGAGAAATGACAGAACACAATATGCTTCTCTAGTGTGGCTGGGATTCCAAGTTGGGCAGAGGGTCAGCAGAGCCTGCCTGGGGGTTGTTCTGTATCAACTCATGAACCCAAATCCTCCCCATGCACACCGGCATCCTTTCTTGTTCTCACAAGCAGTGCCTGCAAAAGGCAAAAGAGGAGCCTGTTTTCTCCTACATCCTTGCTGTGATTTTTCCAAGAGTAGAGAGGAAAACAGGCTAATTTTTGTGCCATGGCTGTCCTCACAACTCCAGCCATGGCAGCAGCTTAAGGAGACCTCTCTACCTGCAACCAAACTGGGTCCTGCCCCCTGCCCCCATACAACACTTGAACCTAGGCCAGGCAGTGGTAAAAAAGTCCACTTTCTGGTGCCCTTTGGCCCTGCCCTTAGAGATCCGTCCCACAGGGAGTCACCAAGGCCCCTGAAGGTGTGTGAAGGAACCCAATGTGTCCAGTAAGAGGGGATCCAGCAGGCCCCAGGATCCCAGGACCTGTGTGGAAGGTCACATGGGAAGTGGAAGGCCCCTGGATTGCCCTGGTCCTGGGGTAGTCTCAGTCGGAGAGTTCCTCCTTAGGGACTCCCACGGTGAGTAAGAGCTCCCTTACTGACTCAACCCTGATACTGTCTTCTTGAGCCATTCCCAGAGGAGGAGAGGCTTCTGGCTCCCAGGCCTGGTGTTGGTGGGAGGGACAGGCAGGGGCGGGAACAGCCGGCTGCCTGCTGGGAGCCAAAACGAAAGTTGCTTAGGCTGGAACTGGGACAGAAATCAGGGCTCCCAGGAGTAGGACACCAGAAGCTCTCCAGTGCTCGGACCCCAGAGGCTGGGGAGGGATTCCAGCCTCCATCGTCACCCACAGACACCGAGCTGGGTAGGGTCAAGGGTGGGGTGTCTGCCCCCCCTTGGGGGGGGCAGGATAGGGCCTCAGGCCTGGTTGCTGCCTAGCACCTGGAAGATGCCTGTGCCCTGGTTCTTGCTGTCCCTGGCACTGGGCCGAAGCCCCATGGTCGTCTCTCTGGAGAGGCTTGTGGGGCTCCAGGACGCTGCCCGCTGCTCTCCGGTGAGTCTGGGGACCTGGAAGGTTGGAGAAGGCTCAGGGCTCAGCTTGTGGCCCATCAATGCCTTAGTCTGGCTCCTATCACTGCCTCTACCAACAGAACCGCCCTGGCTGGTCTGTCTGGTGCTCATGGGGTGGGGGAAAGAGCTGATCCTCTTTCTGGGAGAGTGTTGGAATAAGGAACCCTAGAAAGAGGTAGTCAGGGGGGTCTCTGCTAGGGGAAGATGCTTAGATTTGGGGGTATAAACTCTGACTCTCCTTTCTTTCCTCAGGGCCTCTCCTGCCACCTCTGGGGTAAGTATCACTACTTTTAGAGAGAGAACTTCCCAGATTGGTGAAAAGGAGAAGAGCTGTCCTAAATTCATGCCCACCCTGCTCACCCTCAGTCCAGGAAAAGCCAAGTTCTTTGGCCCTCTAAGGATATCATGTGCAACCAAACTTAGTTTTGAGTTCCCACTCCACCTTTCACAAACAGATGGTGATGTGCTCTGCCTGCCTGGGAGCATCGTGTCTGCCTCAGGCCCTGTGCTGGTGCCTACACGCCTGCGGACAGAGCTGGTGCTGAGGTGCTACCAGGAGACTGACTGTGACCTCTGTGTGCGTGTGGTTGTGCACTTGGCTGTGCATGGTGAGTGAGTCACCCTGTGACAGCCTGCATGCACTCAAGCATGTCTGGGGCGGGCGTGAGGACCAGGAATTTGTCACTAAGTGCAGGACATCCTCAGTGTTGAGGACACTGGCCAAAGAGCCCCCAGGCCAGCCTGTTCTCCCGAGGCCTAGCCCCTGTTTCTGAGCACTGGGCTTTCTGGAAGGAAGGCAAGCCCAAGGCCGGCTCAGAGCAGGGGGCCTGACAGGCTTTCTTCTCGGGTCCTCCCAGGGCACTGGGAAGAGCATGAAGATGAAGGAGAGTCTGCAGGAGCAGTTGGTCTGGAGCTTGAGGAGTTTAGGAACGGTGAGGAAAACGGCTGGCCCAAATGTCCCTCACCACGGTCTGCCAGTGGCCTCTAGTCCTAACTGACCTCTGCCTGTTGCTCACAGCCTCTCTCCAGGCCCAAGTAGTGCTCTCCTTCCAGGCCTACCCCACTGCCCGCTGTGTCCTGCTAGAAGTGCAAGTCCCTGCTGTCTTGGTGCAGCCTGGTCAGTCTGTGGTATGTGAAGTCATCCTCCTCCTAATAATATTAACCACCTTTACACACTTTCATACGCATTATTTCTTTAAGTCCTGGATCTCATCAGAGCAGTGAAAAAGACCTGTCAGTCCATTGTGCCTCCATTTTTCTGTCTGTAAAATAGGTATAATAATAGTCTTATCTTTTTTTTTTTTTTTTTGGTATAGCAGGGTTGACTGGGGTTTGAACTTGGGGCTTTGCATTTGCAAAGCAGGCACTTGAAAAGTAGCCGCTCTACTACTTGGGCCCACACCTCCACTCCATTTTGCTCTGGTTATTTTGGAGAGATCGGGGTCTTGCAAATTATTTGCCCTAGCTTTCCTTGAACCATGATCCTCCTAATGTCACCCTCCCAAGTAGCTAGAACTACAGATGTGAACCACCTGCGTCTGGCTAGTCCTACCTCATATTTGGCACACCAAGCAGTTTACCAGGGTAGTTCTATCTTACATTTCCACCAGCAGTGAATGGGAGTTCCAGACGCTTCCCATCTTTGCCAGTACTTGGTCTTATAATTTAAAATTTTAGTCTTTCTATGATGCATGTGGAGGCATATCACTGTGGAGTTTTTGTTGGTGGTGGTGATGGTGTTCGGGTTTCGTTTTTGTTTTGTTTTTAACTCCAGATGTTGGGCGTGAAACACAAAGCCTTGCCCAGGTAGAGAAGGTACTCTACCACAGACCTATATCCCCAGCCCTTCGTTTTTTGAGGCAAGGTCTTACTATTTAGCCCACACTATCTCAAACTCACAATCCTTATTCCTTGGCTTTCTCAGTACTGGGATTGTAGACGTTTACCACTGGGCACAATGCTCATTAGGGCTTTAATTTGTATATCCCTGATGATTGGTGAAGTCAAGCACCTTTTCACAAGTTTATTGGCTATTTGTATAACTTTCTTTGCAAAAGGTTGTTAAAATTTTAGACCACTTTAAGCTGGGCGCCAGTGGCTCACGCCTGTAATTCTAGCGACCCAGGAGGTAGAGATCAGGAGTATCTTAGTTCAAAGCCAGCTCTGGCCAAATAGTTCTGGAGATCCTATCTCAAAAACCCATCATTAAAAAAAAGGCTAACAGAGTGGCTCAGGTGGCACAAGCACCTGCTTAACAAGTGTGAGACCCTGAGTGCCACCTATAAAAAAAAAAAAGGTGTGTTTTTGACTGGTTTAAAAAAAATAGGAGGTGTAGAGCACCTGCTTTGCAAGCACAAAGTCCTAAGTTCAAACCGCATTCCCACCCCCACCTTCAAAAAAAGGATAAAAAAGAGAATAGTCCTATCTCCTATGGCTGTTGTGAGAATTAAATAAGCTGATACCTGTAAAACATTTGGTGTAATGCCCAGCACTGAAGGGTATCAATAAATTTAATTTTTCCCTTCTTTTGTAATCTTGGAAACTACCCCCATAAACCAGGCTTTGTCACCCTCATTTTCCAGATAGAGGAAATGAGGCTTGGAGAGGAGTGATTTGTGGGCTGTGCACACTTCTCTGGGCTCTTGCACTAAGAGAATAATCAGGGTGCTGGGGATTCTCCCTGTCTCACAAGGCCTACTTGGTTGGAAGGTCTATCTCTATTGGGGCTGAATCACCCAAACCCTTTAACTACCTCTTCAGTCCCTGGTCTCCAGCTAGAAAACTGTCAACTGGGAGAACTCCTTGGCTCACCTCACAAGTGGTCCTCACAGTCATGAGGACCACTAAGGTGGGGAGAGGTGTACTATCTTTGTGTTGGGGTATTTCATCAGCTTAGTTTTGGCCTGGTGATCCAGGACATCAGTGGTGGGGCAGAGACTCAATAGGTAGGCCTATTCCTGCCCTTGCCAGCACTGGTACAGAGAATGCGTGCTTTAGAATTGGGGGCCTGGCTATTTGGGTAGTTTATATGTGAAATTCTAGCTACTTGGGAAGGCTCCTTAGTGGAGAGTGGGGGCAGTGGGCGAGCAAAGTGGTCTATACAGATGAGCCCAAATTCTTCAGCCTGGATTCTCAGCCCTCTACCACCAGCCCTCCACTACCTTCTCCCCACAGGGCTCTGTAGTATTTGACTGCTTCGAGGCTGCTCTTGGGGCTGAGGTGCGAATCTGGTCCTACACTCAGCCTAGGTACCAGAAGGAACTGAACCTCACACAACAACTGCCTGGTAAGTGGTTCCAGAGCCTCAGAGGTGCCAATTTCTGGCCTCCCAGGTCTCTGTCCCCTCTGGTCATTCCCCTCCTACATTCACCCTCTTCTTAGTCTTATCACTCTCTGGCAGAGATCTGAGCTGGGACTCTCCCCAGTCAAATCCCTCTGCTGCTTTCTCCAGGTGACATGGCTTTCCAGCCCTGGAAAAGGTGCCTTGTGCACTGTGTAGATGTGGGTGGTATTTAGAGGACAGGGAGTCCTTCCCAGTGTCCTCTTTGGGTTGGTTTACCCCCATCTTTTCTTGACCCTCAGCCCCACTGGAGGCTTTTCTGTGATCTCTCCCCAGACTGCAGGGGTCTTGAAGTCCGGGACACCATCCAGAGCTGCTGGGGTAGGGGCTAGGGACAGCGGGTTGGGTGGAGGGAGGGGTTGGGCCTGGAGATCACCTGAGGGACATTTGGAGTTGGCTTCAGTTCTTGGCTGCCACATCCCAGAAGCTCACAGAGCCCATTCGTTAATTCATTCACTTTAACTACAATAGTTAACTAAATCTGTGGCCAGCATTGGAAATATAGAGATGAATGTCTCATTCTTTACGACAAGTATTCATTAGTACCAGAGACACCTAGAGGCCCAAAGCACTGTCACAATTATGGTGTCCCCCTTCACATGTCAAAATAAAAATGACAGCTGGAGGCATGGCTCAAGCAGTAGAGTGCCCTACTAGAGTTCAAACCCCAGTACTGTACTGCACACACACAAAAACAATACTAAACCTGAAATAAGGGTTAAGAAAGTTGAGGGTCTGATTTTTTCCTAGGCTGTGTTTATTTTTGCTTTCGTCTTTTTTTTTTTTTTTTTTGCCTGTTTAGCATACCTACAGAGAAGTGCATAAAGTGCACTGGCTTTAACATGCAGTTCACTTAGGGTTTTTTTTTGTTGTTTGGTTTTTGTTTTTTGCAGTACCAGAGATTGAACCCAGGGCTTGATGCATGCTAGGCATGTACTCTACTACTTGAACTATACCCTTAGTACTTTTGTTTTTATTTTGTTAGGGTCTCACTAACTTTGCCCAGGCTGGCCTCAAACTCCCAGTCTTCCTGCCTCTGCCTCCTGAGTAGCTGGGATTATAGATATGAATCACCATGCTTGGCCTTTTAATTGTCTTGAGACAAGGTCTTTTCAGTATGTTCAGCGTTAAGGGTGAACCTTAACTGTGAATCTTCTAGCCTCAGTCTCAGAGTAGCTGGGATTTACAGGTATGAGCCACCATACCCAGCTCAGTTCAATTAGTTTATGTATGTATATACTTGCATAACTAGCACCAATGTCAAGATATAATGTTTTCTGAACTATTCAAGTTTTTCAACTTCATTTTCTTTTTTGCTCCTTAAACTTGGCCTGCCTCTTTGGCAATCCATAAAGATCACTCAACATCAGATTTTGAAAACATAGATAGGGCTGGTGGAGTGGCTCAAGTGGTAAGAGTGCCTGCCAAGCAAGTGTGGGACCCTGAGTTCAAAACACAGATATGCATTGTGTACTTTGTTTCTTCATTCATTCTGTGAACACTGCTTCTGTCATTCAATAGATATTTACTGAGAAATTACTCTGCACCAGACACAGCTGTGGACCCTGGAGATAAATAAATTAACAAAACTGCCCTTATGGAACTGGGTGGGTCAAGGTTGGGATGGAGGTGAGGGAGGATACAACAAACGTAAGGAGGTGTAAAGAATATAATAATTATAAAGAATACAATAAGTTAGATGGTGATTAGAGTAACAGGAAAAATTCAAGGAACAGGGATAGGAAGGTTGGGAGTTGCAGCTCCTCACTGTAATGAAGGAGGTGGGAGAGGAGCCATGTGTTTGAGAAACAGCGTTCCATGGGAAGAGGATAGCCAGTGCACAAGGCTGACAGCAGGAATGTCGGGTATGTTTAAGGAATAAGGAAGCCAATGTGTCTATGACAAAGTAACCAAGGGCACAAATATAAGGAGATGAGGTTAGAAAGGTCACGGCAGCTATTCACTGGGGAAAGGTCTTGCAAGCTATTAAGAACTCTAGCTTTTACTGGGAATATTATGGGGCCATATGAGGGTTCTAAGGAGAAAGAATGATTTGTGGTAAGGAGGTTATGGTAGCCTGCTGGCTGCAGAGGGAGAAGCAGGGAGAAGAGGTATCTCAAGACCACATATTGAGGTTCTATGACCTTGGTCTTGGTGTCTGAGATGGGGTGCCAGTCTCCTCCCTCGAAGGACCTCCTAGTCTAAGGGATTTGATGGAGACACCAAAGAGTCAGTTGGTGAGTGTGGCCAAGGCCTGGGTGTGCAGAAAATGTGAATATAATATAAGCTGCTTCCTCTCTCTGCTTCTACCCCAGCTCTGCCCTGGCTCAATGTGTCTGCAGATGGGGATGATGTGTGCCTGGTGCTGGATGTGTCTGAAGAACAGCACTTCGGCCTTTTGCTGTACTGGAATCAGGTTCAGGGTCCCATCAAACCCCGGTGGCACAGAAACTTGGTGAGACCTCTCCCTCCCCAAGTCCATTTCTACCCTAGGCTAATGCCCCTGCTAAGGATGTGTGTACATTACCAAAGGGGACCCTTGAAGAGGACACATCCAAATCAAGGGAACTTGCTTGTGTGATGGGAAAACTTGTACCTGCCTAGCTTCCTTGACTTTGGCCTCCCCTTCTTCCTCCACTTTATCTTCTCCAACTCTCCTCCTTCTGCTTAATCCATAGACGGGGCCACAGACCATTACCTTGAACCATACAGACCTGGTTCCCTGCCTTTGTATTCAGGTAGGGGCAGAGTCCAGCTGGGTGCCAGGGGAAGGGGACTGGGAAGATGATGAGGGGGTGGCTTTTACTTTCCTGGTCTCAGCGTTCTCTTCTTTGAGGTGGAGATCATGGTCTCTTTTGGCTGGCTGGCTGGCTCTCCCTTGACTCTTGCTGTTCCACGCCTTCTGCCTACTATGTGCCCAGAATGTTCTTCTTGATGCTTCATCTACACTCCTACTGGTGACTCATGGCCCACTTAGACATCACCTCCTCCTTGAAGCTTTCCTCTACTCCTCTCGTTCTCACTTTGTGCTCCTGTAGAGGACAGAGCATGTACTATGGACTCACACTGGTTTAAATACTTCTTCTTGCCCTTTGCTATCTGTGTGATCTTATGCAAGTCACTACCTCTCAGAGACCATTTCCTGTCTATAAAATAAGAATACATTAGTACCAGCCTCATAGGACTGTAAGGAAGTGTGAGCTTAAATATTGACTCTCTCCTCTCGCTCTGATTGCACCTTTAATTGGCCATCAGGTCCTATTCATATGACCTCTGACATTGATGTCTCTCATTCTCTCTCCCTCCTTACCATCTAAGTTCAGTTTGAGTTCTGGCATCTGTCCTCTAGGCTGTTTCAGTAACCTCCAGCCCTACTTCCCTTCCCACTTTGTATTCTGGGTACCGTTCTGGTTTCCAGGTATTCCTTCCACAGAGGAAGGAATAGTCTGCTTCTAATTAAACCTTTCCCACTGTATTTTTTTTTCAAGATTCCCCTTTACGGGAGTTTTTTTGTAGCTGATGTAGCTACAAGACCAAGATACAGCCACCTGCCTTTTCTTGGGCAGTTCCGAACACCTGAAATCCTTCACCTCTATTCCATACAACCAAATCCTCCCAGCTCCTGTGTCACCTCTTTCTCAAAGCTTATCCCCAACTCCCTGGCCTTTCCTAACTCCAGTCCCCCTTATACTTCTGTCCTTCTCTGTCCATGTATTACTTCCTTTTCTATTTGGGGATCACAATAGCTGCTCAATAAATGTTTGGAAGTGAGTGATTAATTAAACAGTTTTATTTACATATTTTATTTACAGCTGTAGTTTGTGATTTCCTTGAAGGCAAGAAAATCATATCTAATTCAAGTGTAATAATTTTGCCAGAGCCTTGCACAGGGCCTTGCCTATAGTGAATTGAATGAAAGAATGGATGAATGATCCTCTGCTGCCAAGCACAGTGGAGGATGCATAGCAGACACTCAGGAAATGTTTGCTGTGGTTCAACTGTCCTCATTCCTACACACAGAGCCTACTAAATAGCAGGTGCTCTTAATGAAAATTTGATGAATCAATGAATTTATCATCTCAAGTGTTTAGCACAGGGCTAAACATGTAATAGGTGCTCTTAAAAAGCTTGCTAAAAGTCAGACACTGATGGCTTATGCCTGTAATCCTAGCTATTCAGGAGGCAGAGATCAGGAGGATAGTGGTTCAAAGCCAGCCCTGGGTAAATAGTTCACTAGAACCTATCTCGAAAAAATCCATCACAAAAAAGGGCTGGTGGAGTGGCTTAAGATGTAGGCCCTGAGTTCAAACCCCAGTACTGCAAAGCAAAACAAAACAAAACAAAAAACAAAAGAAAACTCACTAAAAGAATAAATGAATATATCCTTAGCACCTAGCAAAGTGTGTAGAATGTGATGTAGAATGAATTAAAATTGTCTTATGTCCCTCAGATCTACCATACTAAGACACACAGTAGATACTCATGAAAAGTTGGTTGAATGAAGATGTTGCTAGTGCTCAGCATAGTGAGCACTGGAAAGAATAAATTTTGCATCTCTAGAGCTTCCTAAAGCACAAGAAGATGTAGGCAAACACTTGTGAAATGTGGCTGAATGAATGTACCCTGGGGGCTGACACTTTTTCATAGAGGGTTGGCTGGACTGAACTGACGTTAGGAGAGCCTTTTTTCTTCCCAGGTGTGGCCCCTGGAGCCTGACGCTGTCAGGACCAACTTCTGCCCCTTCAGGGAGGGTGAGTAGATCATCCAAGAATGGGTTGGTGGGTGGACAGAAGGTTGGCCCATGGTGAACCTGGCCCTCTGCTGCAGACCCTCGGGCGCACCAAAATCTCTGGCACCAAGCCCGTCTGCGGCTGCTGTCCCCACAGAGCTGGCAGCTGGATGCACCATGTTCACTGCCTGCTGAAGTGGTGCTGTGTTGGCAGGCACTGGGCAGTGGTCCCTGCCAGCCGCTGGTCCCTCCGCTGCCCAGGGAGAATGTCACTGTGAACGTAAGTCAGGCAAAGGGCCTTCCCAGAGTGGGAAGAGGGAGGGGAACCCTTGGGAATCCCCTTTCATGACCCATTCTTTACTTTCCACAGAAGGCCCAGGAGTTCCCGTTGCTGAAAGTCCACCCCAACCTCTGTGTCCAGGTCAGAATGGGACACCAGAGCAGTGGCCTGGAGGGAGGGGACCCCACACAGTCCCCATAGACAAGTCAGGGTCCTTTGCATCCTCCTTATTCTTGGGTCCCCTAAGGCATAGTGGTTGCTAGCTTTGGGAATTCTATTTACTTTAGCAGTAGATGGGACCCTAGGTAAACCACTTCACCTGGTCGATGTCAGTTTCTGTTGGATTCAGATAATAATAGCAACTATGGCTGTGAAGATGGAAGGAGAGAGATGTTTTTTATTTGCCTTAGGGTCTGGCACAGACTAAACACTAAATAAGTGTTAGCTGCTTTTATTATTGCTATTATCTATTCTCCCACCTGTAGAATGGGTTGTCCTAGGGGCAAAAACATTCATTCAAGATTTTTGGAGCCAGGCCCAGTGGCTCACGCCTGTAATCCCAGCTACTTAGGAGGCAGAGATCAGGAAAATCAGGGTTCAAAGCCAGTCTGGGCCAATAGTTTGCGAGACCCTATTTAAAAAAGAACTCTTCACAAAAATAGGGCTGGTGGAGTGACTTAAGGTGAAGGCCCTGAGTTCAAACCCTAGTACTG